GAAATGTAAAAAGGTACATAAAACGGTAGTAATATCTTTGTGGATTATAAATAAAAACACAATTAATAGAAGCAGCTTTCAAATTTCAAAGATAAGTTTATCTTGTGACAAAGACCGACATGACATGGAAATGATTTTGCTTGTTGATTAGCTTTGAGTTCGACATGATAATGATTTCATTAGGCGTAAAAACTATAATTCAACTCTGAAACTTGTTGGTAGGATTCATTTCGGTCCTTCAAATTAAGCAACAATTAATGATGTTAGAAACATAATTAACAAGCTAAAATATATATATACTCAACTAAGATTGTAACATCTCATAATCAGATATATGGATAAATATGTTAGATATTGTGATAAATAGAAAATCATGTTTAGCTAAATTACAAATATGTTATGAAGCGTGCAAAATTAAACCATAACTTAGTTTATGGAAAACTCATAAAAAATTAAAATATATCATGTGATAAAATGAAACCACAATATTTGACTAAATACAAACATCCCATGTCCTAAAAACGCATTTGTTACAAAAACTTATTAGTAAACATGTTTTGATATGTAACCTGATTAGCAAAAGAATTAAGCTCGCACAATGTGAATGATAACTGCGATGCTTTAAACCTACTCACCGATGACAAAAAATGTACAATAGCAATGTGACATATTATATATGACACTAAAATACTCACTACTACACAACGTGTAATTAATTTCATGAAAAAAAAAAATCGAATACACTGTTATATAAAAAAAGTAGTGTATCAAATAAAAAGCTAAATCTATGTTTGTTACTAACTTTGCAATAAAAATACAATTAAACAAATTATGTTATAGGGGTAATAAAATATTATACTTGAAACAATCTTGAGTGGATATTCGTTAATAAACAAAAGTAAAGGATAACATATTTTAATTCCAAAGCATCTCATTATACAGAACAATATATACAAATTATGATAAATTAAAATTTCAAAAGATCCAAGTTTACAAGGACAAACACAGCTCATATACAAAATATAAATACTAGCAAACCACAGGATTTTAGAGAAATGTAGTTCACGTAGCTATCAATAGAATGTGATGCATTGTAATAAATTCTTATTAAAAAAAATAATCCAATAAAACTTGAGAAAATTAAGGTTTTTCAGTGATAAGTTGTTTTCTTATTTGAATTCGAAGTTAAATCTAATGTTTCTAATCCTCTTTGAACTCTTTTGCAGATGAAGGCTGATTTACAAATTGTATTTTTCAAGATGAAATACAATATAGAACTCAAAATATTTAATCTTGGCTTTAGGGATTAGAATTTCTAGCAAGATGACAATTGAAAATGGAATCCACATGCGATCAAAGGAAACTTGAATGAATTACAGAAGAAATTAAAGGCTTGAAAAATGGGGATTTTGATTAAAGAAAGTCGTTGAAAAGATGTGGTGGTCTTATTGTTTGAGCTTAAATCATGGAAGCATATATTGACTTCTCTTTTTAGTTTTTACTTATAAAATGTCAGTATTTTTTATATAAAAAATGTGGAAATATAATATTGGAATTAATATCTTAATTAGGGTGTCCTGTACAATTTCCACCAAATTAAATGATTAATTATGCTAGATACTATCCAACAGAATCAGAAATTTAAGAAAAATAAAAAAATTCAGTTCCTTCAGTTCCTTTCTTCTTTTGGTTTTATTAATAATCAATTAATCTGCAAGTTCAATTTTTTTTAACAGAATTGATACAAAAAGGCACTTATCTTTATGTGATTTGTTATTGTCAAAAACTGTTTTTGGCAATAGCCAATTACAGAAAGACAAATGTGTTTCTGTACAAATTCTGTAAAAAAAAAAAGTAAAAAAAAAAAAAATGTACTTATAGCATTGTTCATTAATAATTGTATTTGAACTTTCTGTTCTTGGAAGCTGTAAGTTGAGTGGATATGGAGTCCCTTTCTACAAAACTATCCACCACCAATTTTCCCTTAACACATCCAAGAATTTCATTTTTTTTTCTATCTTCTATGGCTTCCATTCATAACCATGTTGCACGTAAACAATCTTATTGCAGGGATCTGAAAACTGTAAGTACAAGAAATATGATGTTTTCTTAAGCATTTCCATTGTGAAATTAATTTTGGAGTCCTTTACTCTATCAAATTCACAATCCAAGTCCTAAAAGTCACAGTGATTCAGTTTTATTCTGAAGGATAGGCTGCTAAGTGATCATTTCAAAAGTTATGTAGGAGACGGGATTTTCTTTTTTTCTTTCAGTTTATCTTGGCATAGATTTTATGTGACTTGTTCCGCATTATTTTGTTAACGCATTTTGGTGTGATCATGTTGACTGTCGTAAATGGCGTCAGAAATGCTCTCGTGTCCAATTTATAATCAAGAATTAAGTTTTTGAGTAGCAGCATTTTCTGGAAGTGTAATTATGATATACCTAAATTTGTGTTTATGTGTCATGGAGACATGCACACACTTCTAAATTCAAGAATACATACTTGTATGCTCCAAACGTATCAGATTCAGACTTTAGGATTTATGGAAATAATTATGCAGACATTTCAATATTATATGTTGTTGCTCTTGTAATTAGGGATTCCAGTTTTATCTGTGACATTTTGGTTTACCAACCGATTTTCAGGAATATGCAAAGCCTTGGCATCACTGGAAAAGACCGTTACTTCTTTCAAGACTGCCAGATCAGAGCTAAGCTAAAAACTATGGATCAAATCCGAGTGACCTGCTTGCTCAGTGGACAATCCTACACGTTTATCTCTGTAGATCATGAGTTTACATTCGAAAATATTATCCTAACCCTTAGTAATCCAACTCCAATTGCTAATTCTGAGCTAAAATATTAGTTAAGTAGTTAATATTTTCTTCATATAGCTTTTAGGACATTGCTGGATTTACAGGCCCAGCACTTACAGGAGTTGGTACATAAGGTGGGTAGGATTTTTTTTTTTTGTTTTTTTTATGGCATTGGACCCGCGTGGGCCGACCCCATGTGAGGGGTCAGAAAGACCCCTGTAGCTTTTATTTTCATGGGGTCGGTAAGATCCCTGTGAACAAAGCCCTGTACACAGGGCTTTGTCCTAGCTTTTATTCTCCTTCAAGGTGCTTCATGCATCACTTGATGAGTATTTTCTCCATACACTCGCTGGGGCCAAAGGCCAGGAAAGCTAGGATACGTAGCGGCAGCTGCCTGTCTCGCCAAGTTCTACTGTAATCATTCTTTCCTTCAGGGAGAGATTGCTTCCAAGCTCATACTAATAAAATTATACACAATATTTTTTGATTTCGACCTTGCATGCGTTACTGCATATACGTAACACTAAAATAGGCAACCTCTGAAATGCAGGATCTAGATAAATCGATCTGGACGTTCAAAAAAAGATTATAAATATACTCTTCTCGACATGTCGTGTGAAATTACAGGGGATAAAAAATAAAAATGGAGAAACTTAAAACCTTGATATGATTCTTCGATGCCAGAAGAAACGAGATCTCATCATCACTGGCCTCTTTCACATGCTTCCCATCATCAGTAGAAAAAAATATATTTCAATTTCGCATAAAGCAGCTATCAGGCATCTGTCAAGCAGAATTCAGCTACTATATTAGCAGCAGCTGCATCACAGGAAGTAATCTGGTGTTCTGCGGGTTACATCTGGCTCGCCCCTTCTAGGAGCCGGGTCAAACTGCAAGAGGAAACAGCTAAAACCTCAATAAAGGGAGAATTGCAGCATTGTCCCCGAGTAGCAAGTTAAATCTCCATTAAATTGTCACATGGCACTTGTAAAAACATGACTCACTTCAAATCTCTAGCCACCAAACAAAATCTAGCTTGGTAAAGTTGGGAATTGTGTCAAGTGACGATTTAATGGAAATTTGGGCTGTTTTGTCTGAGTACTTATTGTGCAACTACACTAAAAACTTGTTGGTTAACTTTATCCTTTTTAAAGGTACTCGGGAAGTGGGTAGGGAGACGGCCAATAGGCAATTTTCCCATAACAGCCACAGATCAGCAGTTATAT